GCAACTAATCTAACCTATGCACATAATGATTCTTCATTTGTTTAACAAGTCATTTATGCAAGAAGAACATGAATTTGAAACACAAACCTAATCTCCTCCAGCGTCAACAAGAGTTATGTCAGGTTGTCTGTATGCAAGACCTAATTGCTGGCTGTTGTTTCTTTCAGCAGCCAAACTATTTTCATGAATGACTGCTTTCTGCAATGAATCTCTTGTAATTAAGCCAATTTTTCATATATTTTGCATTGAACTTAAACACAGATCAGTTGAAGCAGTCTTTGTCTCCAAATTAACATTCTGTGGGCAAAAACTTGTGTGCCTTTGTGTTGCCGAAAGTAGTTATTACCAATCTATCATCGACCAGCCCATTTCCTGAGTGCAAAAAGACTGTTTCTGCTTTTCTCCTCACTTGTTATTCAGATAGGAATAGTTTTCAAATTAATTTGTAATGGTATGTATTACTATACTCATTAGGCTAAACTTGGACCCCCTCTCTAGCTTCTTTGCACCAGCCTCGTGGTACAAGGATGCTATAAAACTGATCTGGTACAGAAAGGCTGAAGGGTCTGGAGGAGGGTATAGTTCAACAATCCACATGGATGTAAACAGCTTGTCCAAGAAGCGGGAGGGACAAGGCTCAGGTGGCAGTATACCAACTGTGTCTATTAGGCTTAGACAAAGTGTGATGCAAACTAAAAATTCTGTTATTTTTTAAGAAAAGATATGGTCTTCATGTTATTTTTCTTTACTTTTGAGCCATGGAGGATTAAAGGAAAAGACTCTTCAAAAATTTTTGGAGGTGTTAAGGTGGAGACTAAACCATTGGAGTGGGCAGGCCAGAAACAGAGCTGTGGCACATGTCTTGCAGAAAGAGAGGCACAAGCGTGCTCACATCTCTCTTGTTGCACGACTGTGAGGTGGAAGGGAAGGTGCTCGTGGTTCCTGCCCAATATGCTGTTGCAGTTTGTGCAATGCAGCTGGGGGTCTCTCTATTTAGTTCGGTGAACCTTTTATTTGGTTTGCAAACTACAAGTGGCACACGGGCTACCAGTTGAAGAGGTCATTTCAAGACTTCCTATATATCCTTGAATGCTAGGAACTTAGTGACTGAGTAGGATTCTCATCTTTTTCTCTATTGTTTTTTCTTATTCAAAGCAAATCCCAGTTGAGTAGACCCCTACAGCTCAGATCTTCAAACTTCAAGTATATTTTAAAGCTTTGCTAGGTGGAAGATAAAGGCAAGGCTGAGTTTTCCCTACAGAATTAGACAGGTAAAAAGTATATTCTTCCTGTTGTACATCTGATCTACCATCTACTACTACCAACAAAAAAAATGCTTCATAAACATAGATGTTTTATGATACAAAACCTGCACTGAGGAGACAGAAAGGGCATATAGTGGATGTCAGTATTATAGTGAGCATAATGAATTTGAATATGTATCAAGAGCAGTATCAAGCTAAATATTCACCAAAAAATTGAATCATCATGTTTCTCTATTAGTCTTTCATTGCAGAGTTATAAAAATAGAAGTTATGTTGCCCAAAGCCAACTTCTGTCTTCACTTGCAACCTTGCTCATTGTCTTGCAGAATTTAATATACTTAGTGCTTTAGAAGCTGAAATTTCAATGTAATCTAAATAACAGCATTCAGATTTTCATGGGTTTGCATTTAAGCCTCTTTCTTTACACATCTGGTAATTTTTAGATTCCCTAGTGACCTTGAATGAAACTGTGAAAACAGTATTTGTTAAAAGATTACATTTATAAACACAATACCTTTGGTATTATAAGTCATACAGAAATCCTGTGACTTTAATTACATATAAAATCCAGTCCCTCTGAAGTATAGGAATCTCATCACATACACATCTATGACTGTACAATGGAAATGTTCGTGCTGCTTGTTCAAATATGTAGACTGATGCTTTGGCAAAAGCTATAATAACAGTTAAGATGAAGGCTTTGAAGAGCTCAATTTTGAGGGACTGTTATTTTTCATGCTGTTAAAATTACTTTTAATCAGTTGCTTCAGTATTTATTTTTTCATACCAAAAAAATAATCCTAGGGACACTGATAATCTACTTATTTGGAAAAATACATGTTTAACAAAATGTACCTTTCAGAAATAAGCCCTTTATAAAATCTTGAAATACTCACTACAGAGAAACACGCAAATCCCATAGAATTCACTGAAAAGAATATTGTGAATTTCAATAGGCTTTTGGTGATTAGGCAATTGTGGAGGTAAATACTTTCCATCACCACAAAAGCTCTGCTTCCTTTCTTTGTAAGAACAGCATGATTAGAAATATAAAGATTACAGAGTACATGAAGCAAAATCCTTCATTAATAGCCAATAGAGCCCAGTAAACAAAGTAAGTCCAAGAACTTTTAAGCTTAAACTGACAATGAAAGCAAGATAGCAAAACTGAAAAATGTGTAGCATTTAAGTAGAATAAGGCCCATGCCAGTCCCGGTGAAGAAACTTTATTCCATTTATTCAGAGCTTTTCCCTGCCCATCCTCTGGCATGCTAACCTTACATATTGGTTGAGATATTTATTTCTTTACTGTATCAAGCATTCCCTTTAAATGCTAAGAGTGGCTTTAATTACTAATAAAAAAACCCATTATCATTATCATCTGATGATGTGCTCTCCAGACAGAACTGTGCCAGAACCACGTGTGATGGCAGCAGCACTGAGCAGCATACCTAAGCGTGCTTTCTTGTCCAGCCATAAAGATAGGGCAATCACCTGAGGTCTGAGAAGGGATCAGCAGCCTGGGGGAGGGCGCAGGATCCTCATCGCCTTTCCTTGTCTGTGCAGAATTGAGAGCCACTGCTTCTCTGCTGCTGTTGCTGCCTGAGTGGATCAGACTGGAGCAAACTGGATGTGTCTGCTCACAATGCAATCAAACCTCCAGGTTAGCTCACTGGAAACAACCTTAGCTAGTCCTGGATCTGTTGTCAGACCTATGGAGAAGACATTCATTTTTGATAAAGAACAGGGGACATGGCAAAAAGAGGGCTTAATACAACATTTTCATTCTGGGTAATAGTGAAGTCAATAAAAAATATCACTATTTTCATTCTACTCTGCAAGATTCTCCAGCAAATTGCCCAGAAAATATTTTCTCCTCCCTCCAAACTGTTTTTAGAGCTGCAGCTTATTGTGTACCTCTCCCACACTGCAATCCGGTACATTTTTTCTAAATAATTCCCAGCAGAGAGAGGCATGGATGCTTGCAGCATCTACCTCTTCCTAAGTTAGTGTTACAATCTTGTTGGATAAAGGGAGTGTTCCTGTAAGAAAAGTTTTTAGGGTACTTTCAGAATATAGGTTTTATTTAAAACTTGGAAGTATCATACTCAGAACATACTTTCTCAAGACAGCAGTCAAGAAAGATCTACTTGAAAATCTTTTTTAAAAAAACACCCTAAATTGAAATTAGGGTTGTTAGTGACTCTTCATGCACAGTGCTAGAAAGCAAGAGGACAAAGCCAGTACAAACTTATTCAGATGTTCATCATAAAAGCTATCTAGATGCATTCAGCAAGAAGTCTGCATTTCTCCAGACCCTACCAAAAATGTTCCAAATGTGTGTTCCCTACACAGTCCTGTCATTGGGGGCTTTTTTGCAGCTGACTCATGTTCTGAAGAGATCAAAGTCTGAGAGAAAAGAAACATGAAATACTGTATTTTACACTTTGTCTTCCGCAGCAGGTTGCCTGAAAGATCTTTTCAAATGGGCTGTTCCTCTTGCAAATCACTCTGTAAATTGTAAAATATTTAATCAAACACTGTACTTGTCACTTTGCAGAACAGAAGGAAGTTCTATCAAAAGAGCAAGCCATCTGAGGCCTCAAAAGCCAGGCAGTCACAGTTGCAACCTCGGCAGTAATCAGGACAGGAGAGCAGCATGGCCAGGACCATTACTTAGAGTGAAACATTTGTACCACTGCAAAAGTATAGCATCCTCATAAAAAGTGGATCTCAAGTGCTACTCAGCTGACACAACAGACTTGAAATAGTGAAGGGCTCCTTAAAAATGTGATGAGACTAAGGAGGAATTTGGACTCTACCTTTAGCAATGCAAATACAAATTAAAACATAAAAAGCTCCTCCTGCTCAGCTGTGACTGAAGTGTGACGTAGTCAAAATTCAGGAAGTGGGTTTGGGGTTGTTAGCAGCCCAGACTTAGAAAGAAGGGGGTGCAAGACAGGTTGAATACCCTCCTGCCAAAATAGGCACTGTGGAGCAGAGCAAGCGTTCCCACCTCAAGCAACAGGGCTGCAGCATCCACCCGGCGTGGTGGTTCTACTGATACATTCAATGCATATGGTTAATAGCATCTGTCTTCTTGGTCGATTGAAAGAACATCTGTCCAACTTCTATTGGACATGGAGAATAGTAAAGTGATGTAGTAACCATCACTACAAATGATTTTAGAATTCTGTAATTATAAACAAACGAGAAAGTCTAAAAGCCTGACTTTTTAGACACAGCGGATTTGATAATTATATTGATCTTTTAGGTATTTATTCCCTAAGGAATTACATCATTACTACTCCACAAACTACAAATGAGTTCTCTATTTCTACAGACCATGGTTGCAATACTCAACGTGACATCAGCAGATACAGAAAATCTATCCATGTAGTAGTGTCTGATACGTACAAATACAATTTTTTTTCAGCTTCTCAATTTTTTAGCATCTATAATATTGTTTCTTCTATGTGTATCCTTTCTCTCTGCACAAGTTAAATTAATCTTTTCTTTCTTACACCCTTTAGCTAATGCCTCACTCAACTGCAAACATTATTGTAGATAAACCATAGCAAAATCATTTGGTTAAAAGCAGAAGAAATGATCTTTGACAGTATCTAGCACATTATTTCACAGAATTTTCTTATAGATGGTGCACTGGATTCAATTTTTTTTTAACATTGTTCAGTTGTGGTCATTCACATGCTTTGCTGATTTTTTTTTTTCTAGGTACACGAAAATGAAGACTGCTACCAATATCTATATTTTCAATCTTGCATTGGCAGATGCCCTAGCAACAAGTACTCTGCCATTCCAGAGCGTGAATTACTTGATGGGAACATGGCCATTTGGTACCATCCTTTGTAAGATTGTTATATCCATAGACTACTACAATATGTTCACCAGTATCTTTACACTCTGCACCATGAGTGTGGATCGTTATGTAGCTGTTTGCCACCCAGTTAAGGCCCTTGATTTCCGTACCCCCAGAAATGCCAAAATTGTCAATGTCTGCAACTGGATTCTTTCTTCTGCCATTGGCCTGCCAGTTATGTTCATGGCAACTACTAAATACAGGCATGGTAAGTCTGGCTTTCATTCCCAAATTATTTCAATGTTTAAACTCCTTTCTGCATTGTTTCACTTTATTGTAGAGGCATTGAATTAACTTCTGACTTCCAACCTGTATAAAGCAGGTGTCGGTGCAAATGGACCCCGTAAACAATTTTGCATCTGGCTGTAGTTGATGGGACACAGTGCTGCGCATGATCTGCCTTTTATAACAGGCAGCTCCAGCTCCTTCTGTGGGTCCACATGAGTCTCGCTGCCCCACACAGTTACTGTAGTGTTTGGAAAAGCATCTGTGCCTGCCTGCCTTCTGCTGCGGGGCGGTTATGCGCTGTCCTACAGCACAGAAGCCTGTGCTTTAGCCAGGATATTCCCACTGAAGTTGGCAGTCAGAGATATGTTGCACCTAGTCTGGCAGGACGTGATACAGAGCAGAGAGCGCGTTCTGGATCACTGGTGCTCAAAGACCTTCCATGAAGTGACGACATCTCAACATAAATCCAAACCTGCCATTGTGCACAGTTACCAAGTGTCATATCATTTTCTCCATTGCCCTGAAATACCCAAACTCTCAGTGGATATGGTGGTTAAACCATCTTTCTTTTCACCAGGTTTTATACTGAAAGTGAAACTGAGTCAAAGTTTATGACAATTTAACTCTTTTTCTTGTCCAATATACATGCAATTCCAAGCAATAAAATAAAATGCAAAAGAGAACACATTACCTCAGAGTTTTTATAACTGACACTTCATATGTGTTTTGCAGCACTGTGTCCTGTCAATGTTTGTGCCAATGACAGGTAACAGATTGCTTCATTTTACCTGTCTACTTAGTAAATCTTCCTATATTTGCCTACAATATTTAACAAAAACGGTTCAAAGAAAAGCAAATTAAAAACTGATGTGCTTGTTCTTCTCTGCTGGTTTCCTTTTTCTCCAGGCTCTATTGACTGCACACTTACGTTCTCCCACCCTGCGTGGTACTGGGAGAACCTCCTGAAAATCTGTGTGTTCATCTTTGCCTTCATCATGCCAGTCCTGATTATTACCGTGTGCTACGGGCTGATGATTCTACGCCTGAAGAGCGTTCGCATGTTATCTGGCTCCAAAGAGAAGGACAGGAACCTGCGGAGAATCACGAGGATGGTTCTTGTAGTGGTGGCAGTGTTTATTGTCTGCTGGACTCCCATCCACATTTACGTCATCATTAAAGCCCTGGTCAACATCCCAGAAACTACTTTCCAGACTGTCTCCTGGCACTTCTGTATTGCTCTAGGGTATACAAATAGCTGCCTTAATCCAGTCCTTTATGCATTTCTAGATGAGAATTTCAAAAGGTGTTTCAGAGAGTTCTGCATCCCCACTTCCTCAACCATTGAGCAGCAAAACTCCACCCGAGTCCGGCAAAACACTCGTGACCATGCTTCCACTGCCAACACTGTGGACAGGACTAACCATCAGGTATGACTAGCAGTGGAGATGTCATCTCTGGATCCAGGCCTCCCGCCTGGAGATGACATGTATTCTGAAGTTACAGTTTATACTGATTTGTAGCTATTTGAAGGTCTAAACACCTTCAGGGTTATATCTGAAACTGGTGTATGCATACACAGAGAGCCCAGTCCTGCATAGTGCTAGCTGTTCTCTCCTCTAGTTGATGCTCAGAAGCTGAGGGCTTTCAAAGTTACCTTGCACGACCGGGTCCAGTGTGCATGCATATACAAAGCGCACAAAACAGCATCATTTGCAGGATATTTACAACAGGTGACGGCTTTAGAACTGGTTGGAGATTAATCACAGATTTCTCTATTCGTACTCCTTGTCTGCTGACAGAGACAGGAGTGGGACAGAATATAGACCTCTCTTCTTCTCCCATTGCAACAGTGAATAAAAAAGAGAAGAAACTGTATTTGTACACTTTTGATTGATGTACAAAGAAGGCCTACCTGGCCTTGTTTGTCCTGGAAGACATACAAGAAGTAGACAAAGGCTTGTCTACATGCAGTTCTTGTATCAGATAATTATCTGTGTTGGCTAAGGTGGGTTTTGAGATACATATATATATATATATACACACACACACACATGTTAAGGAGTATTGTGCCATTTTGTCATTTAAAGTATACTGAGAATATACCTTTTCCCTGTAGAAAAAGCCTTTGAGAAGTAGGGATTTTAGGGCACAGAAGGTACCAAGAGAAATTTTTTTTTTTTTTCATTCAGGCTATTTTTGCTTAGCTTTTGCAAAGAAGCTCTTCTGTTACATGTTCAACATCCATATTCTGTGATTAGTCCTGAGAATTTCCAATCCCCATCCCTCAGTGAACATCAAGCAAAACATGAAAGCAAACCTTAACGTGCATGAAAGTAACTTAAGTGCATAACAAGCACTAGAAAAAGTTTGAGTCATCTCTGTAATTCATTAAAAGGAAGAACAAAAGGCACAAGCCTAGTTCATTCCTTGCCATATCACCTTTCAGCAATATACTTAGGTTGCTCCTGCACCAGTTTCTCACTGCTGCCACTTCGGCCACAAGCTACATGCCGCCTCAAGGTGCAGAAGTCAGTGCTTTTTCGCAAAAGCAGTTGCATACCTGCCACTCAGCTGCTCCAGAAAGCCCAAATCAGAACATTACCATCTCCAAACAGACAAAAAAGTAATTGTACCAGAAAAGAGGAGGAAGCAAGCTAAAGGGAGAAGGGCTCAAAGGAGAAGCTTTGTTAAGCATCTGATTCATACGTGCCAAACTGTGGCCTGTGAAATCAGTTAGCACCTGCTCGTCTTACGCACATTTCGGTGGTGGAGCAGAACTGCCAAACTTGGCATAGGCACATACATAGATGTATGTATGTATATACGTGTAGTATTTACTAGGTGTAGCAAAAATTTATTAGACAGATTCAGCTGTTAACAATGCATTTGTAACCCTCAGTGGAGTCAATTTTGTGCATGTGTCTGACAACAGGATTGTATCTATATCTAGTACAATTCCAGCTTTTTACAGTGCAGTGCGTATGCACACATTTTTCTACATTTAGTTATGTAACTGTATTATTTTTAGGAGAGCTGTTGCCTTCTAAACTTCTACCCTTAGCAAAGATTAATATGGTACTGCCCAAAGGCTGAGTGAAGTAAAGTCTATTTCCCTGGGCACTGAGCAAACACAGAATAGAAGGTGATCTTTCAGCCTACACCAAGAAGGGAGAGAGCCAGCTGAGGCAGGGATAGACCAAGCAAGTGAAATGAGCTTTATAGTGGCAATAACGAGGAAGCTAGTCTCATACTTGGGTTCTTTGTTAGTTGGGGTTTTTTCTATTCAGGGAATAGTGATGAAATTAGTTAAGAAGAGATAAAGCACATGTAAAGAGAAGTGAAGGGGAAGATGCTGAAGGGCAAGGGAGGTAAGAGGAAGAGTGCAGAGGAGAAAGGGGAACATCGGGAATGCAATCCGAGTGAAGCAGTAAGGAAGGAAACTGAAGCAAAGAGCCAATATGCATGGAACAAAGAAGACATATGCAGAGCTGTAAGGGATTGTTTGACTACCCAGCTCTGACTGCTTTGGTAGCTCTTCCTGGACACTAGCCATCAGTTTTCCCCAGGGCCGGGGAGAAAACGACAACACTTGGAACCTTATGTCCTCATAGATGGTGGATAAGGTCTCTTTGCATGGTCTGGTAATTGAAAGAATTTGAAGTGGCCATAAATGGACCCAATTTCACTTCCCTCACCACCATCACTGCAGTCCTTGCTTTGGCAGCTGCTGCTGCTGCCAGTGGCTTATTTCTGCCAGATGTGCTCTCTGGATGCTGACCTGAGCCTTCTCACTGCTGTGCTCCTTGGTGTATAGCACACCAGCTGTCAGGTGCAGTCTTTCTCACTCTCCACAATGTCTATAGAATATGTTCACACCAAGCCATGTTCAGACCTGAATATTAAACTTCATTTACTTTTTCTCTCCAGCAAACATTTCTTTAAGAGACAACGTTTTTGTTGTCTGCTACTATCAGAATGACAGACAAGGTTGTAGGACTAATCTACACAAAAAAGATTCTATGGGACAGTACTTACAAGTGTAACATCTAATTTTTTTTTATTATTAGTGTTTTTTAAATGGAGAAAACCCTAGGGTGAATTCAGCTTTTGCTCTCAGGAAAGAAAAAAGAAAGAAAAAAAAAAAAGAAAAAACCAAACAAACAAACCCCTGTTCGCTCAAACAGTGAGCTTTTGTAAATTCTATTGACAGGGCATTCTTTTCACAGGTAAGTGCCTTCTGTACAAGAAAGTCTAACTAGTATATCTGTATTGATATGAGTATACTGACGAGCTCTTTCTTGTATAGACAAGGCCTCGGAGAGCGTTTGGTATGAATTCTAATTGCAAGGCTGCGTAGTACTCGGCACACTTCACGTCATTTTCAAAGAAACAGATGTTCTACAAGTTGCTTTTTTTGCCAAGTGAGAATTCTTTACTCCTGCTAAAGTTAATGAGAACTGCAAGCACTCAATTGCTCAACGGCTTAAGGCCTCACACTTTTAAACACTTAAAAATAAGCATTTACTGGTAGAAGGAACAACTGCTTTCTCTCAGTACAGAAGCAGTAACAGGAAACATCATAAATACTCATATTATTCTGAGTTAAGATACTGGCCTTTGGCCTACTCTGTGGCTCTTTGGCATTACCAGAAAGGTCTAGATTAAAAGTTTGATTATTGTTTTATCAGCATTTACAAAAAATGGAAGAGCAGAACAAGTTCAAAACTCCTCCAGTAATGCAGCTTCTTTCAAATGCACAGAGTAACATCTGATCCATAACACTGATTTTGTGAGCATTTACAGAAATTGTACATGCTCAGTGGAGGAGCACAGTTCTGAGGGAGGAAAAGACAGTGGTTAATCAGGCATGCAAAAATTGGAAGAGTTGTAAGACTGAGATGTTTCACATCTAGAGGGGGATGTATCCTGTGTTACACTCAGCTAACTCCTGCGGTAAAATGCATAGGTTACATTTCTTCCAAAGTGAGTTTAAAGGCTTGGCTCACTTTAATTTTCAGGAAGGCATATGCAATCTTGTAAGTGCATTTGCATGAAGAGTTAAAATGAGAGTAGGCGTGATGGAATCCTGGAAAAATTGCTTGCAGAGCAAAACTGCTTACCTTGAACTTTACTCTTTATGACCCAACATCGGTAGGGAATGGTAATAAAGGACCAAATACTAGCTTTTGCAAATGGCTGAGGTTTTTTAATGTCGACATCAACCTGATTCATGACAAAGACCTTGACAAGTATTTTGAAATAGCTTTTACTTCAGGTGCACAGAGACTCTGCATTAATTTATCACTGAGATTAAAAAAAGTTTGAATATTTTTCAAAATTTAAAATTCATTGATAAATCTTTTTTCCTGAAAACTGTTTTCCAAATACTTTTTTTTTAATATCTATCTGTTAATAACAAAAAAATTGTAAATACTTAGGAAAATAGATTATTAATAACTATAGAAAACTAAAAAATTTAATTTGTTTCAGTGAGTTAGTTTCTTTGTGACCCATTTAAGTTTTTATAGCAGCCTCACCTGAATGTACCCAAGCAACTAAGCAAATTATGTATAGGCACATTTTCAGGACTATTTGGTCATCTTGTGTAACTATTTTTTGCGGTTTTAGCTTCTGATGCTTTCTCCTTAACCACTGAAAGTGTCTAAATGCCATAATGGAAGCTGCAAATCCTCCTCATATGCTGAAAATGAGACCTCAGATATGCTCATTATCAAAGACCAGAAGGTCTGGTATTTGTGCTCAGCCCTGAAAGTTTGCCCTTATTGCTTGGATTGGCAGCCACGTTTAGAAATGAAAAGGATATTGGCTTAAAGAAAAATTATTTTTAAGTTGAAACAAGGAAAAATTGAAAGCTAGTTTCACTTTGATTAAATAAATTAAAAAAGTGCTTTCTTACATTTCAGTTTTCCCAGTGCTATATGACAGATTTCAAACAAGTATGGGGAATGTTGGTGCATCCTATGCAGAAACATGACAAAAGCTGGGCAGATTCTGTAACTCCAAACCTTGGCAGATTCACATCTACCCGTATTAATAGGGAATGGCCTTTCTGTGTATTTTTAGAAAGTTGATATATCTCACTTGTAAATAATACTGTATTTCAATAATAAAGTATTGGTTTCTTATAAAGCCCATTTCTGGCAAGATAATGACATCTATGAAAAGCTTGTCTAAATTCAATAGATCCTTAAAAGTGGGCTTTCTTTTGTAGCTGATTTACACTGACATGGGCCCTTTGTGAATCTTCTAGGTAGCAGAGAAAACACAATGTGTTTGTCAGACTATTTCATTAATGGAAACAAGAATAAACTATGCTATGAGGACCAGAACTAATTAGATGGCTTCTATGGTTGCCTGCATTTGTGGCATTCCTTAACCTGTGAATTAGAATAAACAAGGAACAAAACATTTCAATTTTTTCCTTAATAAATTAGAAAAAGTTCATTGGTAAAAAAAATACAGAAGAAATGCTTCTATTTTATCTGATGCATAAAGATAAGCCAATATAGACTTCAAAATTCATTTCTGGATCTAGACTTCCCCAAAAGACAGGGACATTCACATTTAGGATCAGGTCAGTTTCTGGCCAAAAGGAGCTGAGGAGAAATATTCCCAATACAGAATAAAGAAAATCCCTAAATATAGCCTGTTAAATTGAACAAGCATTTGAGTTATGTTATGACTTGGAGAAATTTATCTCCAAATCAAAAGTCCTAACAGCCTCCACTCTGCCAAACGTGCTTGGAAAGTGATCCAGTTAGAAAATGCACTTTCCTTCTCCCTGCCCCCAAATCCTTACCCATGTCCCATTACTTTTACAGGAGCATGTTCCCTCTCTTGTCTCAGTGAGGCTTCATCCATGACTCTGCTTTCCTGATGATAAACCCTTTATCTGCAGTGTCTCTCACCCTGTTTTCAACAGGTTCTAGTGCTGCAGGACAGCATTTGCTGGGCAGTAAAAAGGGTTGCAGACCTTCAGGACGTGCTGTGCAGTAAGCAGATCTTCTTGATGAAAACATCTGTGGTGCTTTTGTACCTGTACGCAAACAGAACTTAACATGGATACTGTGGACAAACAGGGCTGAGAGGCTGTTGGGTTTGTTTGCTGATATAAGTCCATCTCACACAGAATTTAAACTAGACTTCAACTGCAAATCCAAAAGCTAGCCAATGTACCAACGTGAGCACAGAATCTATCATCTAAATACTAACTCCCCTGCAATTGCTACAAAAAGAATACAAGGAGGGAGCAAAATCCTTCCATGCTCGTGAAATTCATAGAGAGTTCCCCTCTAGAAAAAGAACAACTGGCTTGGTATGAAATATATTCTAATTCAAATTTCAGATCTGCTAATGTTTCTTTGTCTTTGAAGGTCAGAAATGAAACTTTTCTGTGATCATTTTCTCTGCCTTTGTTGCTTCACGGCAAAGACATAGTCTTGCCTTACTCTCTGGGCTACGTGTTTAGCTTTATACAGCAGGACAGTAGCTGCAACTGACAAGTAAATTCCTCTTAAAACCCCACACATGCAAACACACACACAAACTTGTGGGTGGGAAGAAATCAAGTAATTGTTCATTGTATTTGCAATTTCTTTCCTTTCAGTTGGAACTTCAAGCAGCTGAAACTACTCCACTGCCGTGACAGGGTCTCCTGCCGCATAGCTCTCAAAGCAATTGCACACCAGTGCCACAGTGTCTCTGGGCAGTATGCTATGGGAATGCGTAGGATACCCTTTCCCTCAAAAAAATACTACAGAGGAAAGTGCCTGCTTTTCCAGTCTGTCAAAAATTGCTTCTGCAGCAGTTCTACATTGCGCATAACAGAAGCATGAAACTTAACAGCAAGCAGAGCCAAGAGATACGGGGGCTTGCCAGGCACCAGTGTTCAAAGCAGTCATGTTTACCAGGAATACATACATTAGTCTAAAACAAAGCTACTGTACCTGTAGTGTGATCTGACATGCTCTTGACAGGTTGGAAACAAAAGTTCAAGGGCTAGACAACTATAGTTTGAGAAACGAAGGTGAGCTTTTAATGATTGGAAACAATGGGAAATGAAGTTGTAATACTGTTGGGTACTCAATTGACTCTTAAAATGTATTTGTAGAGGTGTTTTCTGTGCAGGTTATTTATGTGCTGAAGTCTCACAAGATCATCTAGAACAACACATTTGCAGTTCAAGAGGTCTTCTCTTAGAAGGATTGCACATTCCACAATTTCAAAGGGAAAATATTTCTTTGAGTGCTCACTTAACAAAAAACAAAACTCCAAGCTTCACCTTCTGCTTCTGTTTCTCACATAAAAAATACTTTAAAATCAAAACAATGAGCTATGACTTCTTCTAAAAGATATGAGTAAATGAAAGTAATCCATGTTGTTATTGATTGTCAAATGATCCCCGAAGCAGCATAGACTCTATTAACATAAATTCCTATGTGAACAAAAATCTGGCTATAAGTCTGTCAGAGCTAGCACAGACTGATGATGACTTCTCTTTCAAGTAGTTTCTCAAATTTCAGCTGCCCTGTCAGCAACATTTTGAATTTGTAAGTCATCGAGCAGTCCCTACATGAAGTGCTTGGAGCAGTTAACATGTTAGATCTTTTCTTTTAAAAAAAAAAAAAAAAAAGTTATGTTTTGCTAGACATCTATTTTTCTCAAGAAAACCCATAATATGTTTGCTTTTCTAACTAACATAATATAGTCCACATCTCCATTTTGTATTAGCTGCTAAAACACATTAAGATTTATGAAAGAAACATTGTACTGAAGTAAATACCATGTTAGCTGTTTTCTAGTATGAAGAATAGAAATATCCATGTAGGTAATTTGTGGTGCAATGGTATTTTCTAACCATTGTTTGTTACTTGCTTTGTAAATAAATCATCAGTAGCTAACCAGGGGAAAATGTACTTTCATGAATTTAAGTGTATTCTAAGATACAACTCTATGGAACAGGGTTGGGTTTTTTTCTTTCTATTTCTGTAGCCAAAATGTATTTCTTATTTTCATTGTTAAATCTATGTAACTATTCACTTTTAATGTGAAATTGTTTGTTTCTGCCATGGACTGCATAATAAAGATTGAAGGCCAAATCCTTGCAAGTTGTAAATTAAAGTAATATTTGAGTTTCATCACTGTGTTGCAGCTAAATATGTAGCCCTATATATCAGCAGAATATGAAACTAGATATAGCAGAAGTGCCTTAATTTTTTTCCCTTTTCTGTTGAAAAGTCCACTGTGCTGTCATAGGGATTTAATATTTAATTTTGTATTAGTTTAGCAGGACCTCCTCATAGCCATCATTAAAGTTTAAACCAGAGTTGTCACCATTCTAAGAGGCTTTACATCTAATTTTCAAACAGCATAAGATAGACTCTCAGAAGAATTTGACATTATGCAGCAGTATTATTTAGATAACAAGAAGAACATAGAATACACCAGAAACGCACATGGATTTACATCATACAACATCATTTCTATCTGACGGGTTCCGAGTAGTCTGCCATGCTCACATACAACCACCTCACAAAATTGAAACACATTGAATGACTATTTGACAAGTCCTAACTGATAGATCAGAAATATGTTTACTTAAACTTAAAATCAGTTTCATGACCAGTCAAAAGTTCATCAGCTTTCACAGAATTTACATAATGAATTGAAACCATTATTTCACCTGTACTTAGAGTAGAATTAAGCTCACAGACAAAACGCTATGATTTGCCAACAGACAGCCTAATGTTTTTTAAGATATTTTCAGTTTCTACAGTCTGACAATTAATTGAGGAACCTAACTGTAAATATTTTTAGCAGTAGTATTGTTGTTGTAGCCTTGATGGTCTAAGGATATAAAGAAGCAAAATTTATCAGTAAAGCGTTAGCAAAAATAAGTTAAAAGTCTTGTTTTCTTCCAGAAGGCTTGAATGTTCATTGGTAGTGCTTTGCAGTAAGTAGCATACTATTATACAACTTCTGTATCTGCATTGTAAACCTTTAATAAAAATGTTTGTGTTTCTTGCGTATTTGCAACATACTATATTCAAATATACATTAACATGTTATGCCATATATTAATAGCTTAGCTTTAAAAAATGCCATGCAATCAACCCATAGCAACACAACTGCCTTGAAGGTTCTCAGATTAATTACCTGACTGCTTTAAAGAATATGTTGTATTTCTTATTTAAAAAAGGGGAAATCCCAATAGTTCATTATTTTTAAAAAAAAAAATTAAAAAGCACATAGGCAGAGCTCGGTTTTGATCCAAACCACCCACGTCCCTCCTGTGCTGAGAACTCACTGTAAGGGCTCGGCTCCAGGAGCCAGCCAGCGCGGGAGCCTGTCTCCGGCAATGGAAAGGCAGGGTCAGCAGAGGGAATCCTTCCCTTTCCAGCTTCTGGCAGACAGAGGCTTTCCAGGCTCCTGCCTGTTAAATTAAACAGCCTGGGCACATGCCCAGGCCCTGGAACAAGCGTGCCTGTACCGCTAAACCCAGAGGCTGGCTCCCTGTTGACCTGCGTGCTCCTACACCGTTTTGGAGGCTGAAAGAATTTATTAGCTTAAATACAAGCTGTTTTGTCCCAGTGGGTCTCAGTGTCCTGACGATGTTACCGGGCTCATTTTCTCTATTGTTGTAGAAGTAGTCATGATTTTTAAAAGACTTTGGTGAATTTTTCTTTATGGAGTGACTGGACAATTTTCCTCAATCTATAAACTGATAGAGGTTGTTACCTAAAACATCCTCTAGCAAGGAGTCCCATGGCTGAGTTGTGCTGAAATATTCTTGTTTTGTTGATTTTAAAAGTTCTGCCAAATATTTTATTTGGGCATAACTATTTCTTATCTCTCGGGGGAAAAAAAGGTGAATAATGGCCATTCAGTATGACATTTGAGCAAGATTATATGAATATGACTATTCAGTAAGAAATAATCATGACTATTTTTATTCTCTTCTTCATGCCGGTCATGATTTTACAGATTTTATTGTATAACTCCTCAGCCGTTTCTTTCCTAGCATGCTCATTGCCATTTCAAACACTCTTGAGCACTGCATGGATGTTTTCAGGGGATTACCCACAATGACTCTTAAGATCTTTTGCCGGATCAGTAACAACTAATTTCCTACCCACTGTTGTTCATATGTGGTTGGGATTTTTTTTTCTTCACACGCACACATTATTTTGTATATATCAACTTTGGATGTGTCGTGGTTTAACCCCAGCTGGCAACTAAGCACCACACAACCACTCGCTCACTCCCCCCACACCCAGTGGGATGGGGGAGAGAACTGAAAAAAAAGTAAAACTTGTGGGTTGAGATAAAGACAGTTTAACAGGGCAGACGGGAAGAAAATAATAGTAATGACAATAAAATTACATTCATAATAAAAGGATTGGAATACACAAAACAAGTGAAGCACAATGCAATTGCTTATTACTCACTGGCTGATGCCCAGTTAGCTCCCAAGCAGTGATCCATGATGCCAGCTCCCTCCTCCCCCTTCATCTCTGTCCCTCTCCCTCACCAGCAGCCAGTCTTGCTTTCCAGGGCCCTAGCATGGGCAAAGGAGGTATTCAAGATACGACCACTGGTTACATGCCCACTCAGTGGGGTGGGGGAGAGAATTGGAAAAAAAACACCCAAACTCGTGGGTTCAGATAAAGACAGTTTAATAGGACAGAAAGGAAGAAAATAATAATAATAATAGTAGTTTAAATTACATTAATAATAAAAGAATTGGAATATACAAAACAAATGATACACAATGCAATTGCTCACCACTCACTGACCGATACCCAGTTAGCTCCTGAGCTGTGATTGGTGCCCCCTGGCCAACTCCCCCCAATTTTTATACTTGGCATGACATCCCATGGTATGGAATACCCCTTTGGCCAGTCTGGGTCAGCTGTCCTGGCTGTGTCCCCTCCCAACTTCTTGTGCCCCTCCAGCCTTCTTGCTGGCTGGGCATGAGAAGCTGGAAAATCCTTGACTTAGTCTAAACATGACTTAGCAACAACTGAAAACATCAGTGTGTTATCAACATTCTTCTCATACTGAATGCAAAACATAGTACTATACCAACTACTAGAAAGAAAATTAACTCTATCCCAGCCAAAACCAGGACAGCATGTCATCCATCATTTGAACCCCCAGTCACCCAATACCATGAGCTCTTTGTCGCATCTGGCCTAGCTTTGACTATTTTAAATAACTGTGTGTTTTTATAAACACTGTTGCTTCACTGCATGCCCCTCTTACATGAAACATATGACAAAAAGGGACAGCAACTTTCTGGGACATCACTGGAAACCTCCTTTCCACTTACTATTTATTCCCACTGTTTCTTGCCTTTCATTTAGTTTTCAATTCATGAGGGACTTTTTTTTTTCCTTTCTATCATTATACTTTTGTTTCTTTAAAAACCTTTGGTGAGGTACAGAGTCCAACAGGTTTTTAAGAATGGATGCACACTGCATCTCAGCTGGATGACTTTTTTCCACGTGCTCATCAGCTCCTCCAATGACCTCTGAGATGCTGGGTCTGTTGCTCTTCATTCTGCCACACTTGCCACCTGTCTATCCATTCTGCTCCTCCACCTACCTGGCTTACTGAAAAATCAGAATTACCTGTCAGTAGTTCCCCTTTCTTCAGGCCCTTCTTTTTTAAAAAAAATATGAGGTTCCCAACTGCCATATTTTATTTTAGTTCTAAAGTCAGTTTTAAAGTGCATAATACAACACAG